AAAAAAAAAAAGGACTCACAGAGATGTGACATCGGGGGGAAAGCTGCGAGGAATCGACACTGCGCTTTCGCACAACGCGTTATCTTTGGTGCATGTGCATGACATGGGACAGCGCTGCTGCCTGGCTCTCTTGCTCTCCACTGAAGGTACAACAGAAGCCACCACGAGTAAACCGAGCCAGAGCCACCTCCTGGGTATTCTGCATGTATTTTCCATCCTTGGGAACCGCTGCGGGCACGACTTGCGCGTCGAGCAGCCCTACACATGAACCAGGCTCTCCGCCGTGCTTCCCTCCCCTGCTGCTGCTGCTGCTGCTGCCAGGAGGCCGAGCGACGCGCTGTCCGCCCCTGTTGTCTCCACCGACGGGGCTGCGCGCCTTCTTCGCCGCCGATCCGGGGAGTGGAGGGTGATCGAACCCGGAGTCCTCCCCCGTCTGATCTGCAATTACACAACCCGGACGAAAAACAACAACAAAACAAAACAAAACAAAAAAACAAAAAACAAAGAAAAAACACGAGCGTGTATCTTCTGTGGCACAGATGAGAACTAATCAGAAGTGCGGTGTGTGTGGAGCAGAGGAGAACGCCAGCTGGCGCTGTGACAGACGAGGTGTCAGGGCAGGTGGGGATCCCAGCGGGAGCAGACGGAGCATCTCTATCCAAAAACCACGCCTATGGTTTCAGCCAACGCTGCGCGCTCGATGTCAACCTCCTGGAGGATTCCGCCCAATGGGCAGGCGGATCTGGTTTTATTTTTTCCCCTCCATCAATCAACATGTACAGTACAGACAATCACTGTAAATTAAACTCCAACACGAACCAGCTGATTGCTGCCTGTATGGTGCAGACGCTACCTAAGCTATCCATGAGGGAAGCGGCTTGGAAAACCGGGTTAGAATCGATTGTTGCAGACTGATGGAAATGCACCTGCAACATACTGACTTATTACAAACCCATTAGCCTTAGTTACATTTAAAAACTTGGTTTTAGATAAATAATATATTCATTTGGCGCATTTCCTGGCTTCTTCCCGGTTGCCATGGTGACAAGAAGATGCTCATAATGTTTGAGACCAGTGCTGAAAGGGAAGTCCTTCGGACGTCTGTTCAGCTAACAGAAAAACCCCAGGGCCCCTTTTAATCTAAAGTATCATCTCTGTAAATTAGAATGTCATCAGAAAAGTTACTAACTGAATTTGAAAAGTCAAACTCATATTGATTCATTACACACAAAGTGATATTTCAAGCATTTATTTCTGTTCATTTATATTATTATTGCCTTCAAGTAGAAAACATGTTTCTCAGACAATTAGAATATAATACAAAATGAGTAAAATATATTTTGATACAAAAATGTGCAGCTGCCCAGCAGGCAGTCATTGAAACCAGAAACGGTCATTGGTTAAGAAGATGGCCGTTTACAAAGTACTGTAACCAAGCATACTTATGGAAAGTTGAGTGGAAGGAAAAAGTGTGGCAGAGGTATGTGCACAAGCAAGAGGGATAAACAGGATGACTGAGTTGTAAGGCAAACCCTGTTGAAGATATATATATATATATATATTTTTTTTTTTGAGCCACCTCACGCAGAAGTATTCAAGAAATAATCCACAGCATCGTCACTCCCTGGGGTATCCACTTCAGAACCAGAAATTTCAGAAAAGTCTTACCTAAGCTGAGACGAACGAGAGGCTGGACTGTTGATCAGCTGTTTATCAGTGGCTCAAATTCCTTAAGAAATGAAGGTGCCATGAGTCTGGAGGAAGAGAGTAGAAACACAGAAGCCAACGTGTTTCAGTTGCAGTGACAAGGTAACACACAGATGAATATGGGAGCCAAGAGATCTGATGCTGATGGGCCACAGAATCAAGTCCAGAGTCAGCGCCAAAATCTACCGGGAAATTCTTGCGCACCATGTGCTTCCTCTGCTGACAAACTGATTTCTTTTTCCATCAGGACCTGACACCTGCCAACACAGCAAAACTATCAATATCTCTCAGGTAATGTTGGGAGGGAGATGAGATACCTCAGCAAGAGCATCAAGGCCGCTGGAAAAAAGAAAGCCAGACTTCCTTAACACCTCAGCAAAGTCGCAGGCGGATTCCCGCCATGCACTAATGCAGGAATTAAAAAGAATCAGTGCAAATGGTAGGGCCCATGGAGTCATCTTTCTGCCAGTTGACATTCTGTGTTGAAAATAGTTTCTTTATTGGATTTATGCAGATGTTTTGATAAACTGAGTCCTCGGCTATTATTAGCCGCATAGCTCTAATCATTCAAACAGCTGAAATGCGTCACAGCTTGGGTTCCACTGCGTTTGCCTGCAGAACATCACATTGACAAGACCTCTTCCTCTTTGCCAGAAATGCGTGCCGAGAAGACTTCTGGGAGTCTTCACTACATAATTCTTCAGATCCCATTAGAGTTGTAGGATTAATATGTTTACCCACTGTATGCGCACCAGATCCGTCTGGGAAGAAGCTTTTTAAAAGGTCTCTAAATAAATACACTCTGTTCTCAACCTCCTGTCTCCCTGTCCCTGATGTGATTACACCATTAGATGCCCGGTGCCAGTTTACCATGATAACACAGTTCTGCCTGTATAAATGAAAGCAGGGCATTTAGAGGGGGAAAGGGGAGGCGGTGGTCTGGATGTCATATTTAGTGGTATGCAAGTGTATTGTGCCAGGAAGAACGGAGTCTCTTCTTCTCAGAGGAAAAATGTGGGATCGGGTTGGGCAAGCCTAGCAGCCAAAGCGTTTTTCTCACTTTCAGTTTTGCTGCACTACACGAAGAACACTGGATTTCATTGTTGTGCTGGTTGGTGGTGGAGTTTCATAAATGTCATCATTCACAGTGTGTAGTCATATTCTTTCAGTGGAATTTGGGACAAGTGTCCTGTGACTTATGTAACTTCATTTCCAGCTGTTTCGACGTACTTCCTCCCTTTTGGAGAGTATTTTAGATCTTTGAATGATACACACAGATTTTACAAGGCACTTCACCTCTGGTACTTTGGGCCTTTACTTTGTTATGACTTGCTCCACTGGGGGAACACAGAGAGCTCAGCTTCATGCCTAATCAATGATTAAAGGTTTAATCCAGTCATTTTACATCAATTTATTTTCACGAAGAAACAGAACAAATCTCCAGGTAAAATGCATTTCAAATCATTTCAGAACTGCGGTTCTAAACTGACATGCAGGCAAAATTGCAGATTATTAACCGGCATTGAACATGTGCTGTGACTCCTAAACAAAGAAACAGAACTGAACTTCCACGGGTTAGATTCACTCGAGACAGATTTCCAGGTGCTTCAGCAGCTCTCTGTATTCGCTGGCTGGGTACTCGTTCTGGCAGGTGGGACACTCCAGGACGCTTTCATTCAGCACGCTGGTGTGAGAGGAGGACACCGGGTTGTCTCCGGGGGACGAGGAGGGCGGCATCGCCTCTTCACATGAGTCCGGGTCCTGCTGGTCTCTCTGACACGAACAGAGCCAACAGAGTGAGTCAGTTCAGATCAAGTATCAGGTTGAGCCTGACTTCTAGGAGAATCTGTAATTCTTATCCTATGAGACTCAAAGCTGCACAGGTTTCACAGTAAGAGGTGAGAGGATGTGTATGGTAATAAAAGCAGAAGCGTTAATCTAACTTTGGCCTTACTTTGAAGTAAGACGCTTTGCTTCCTACGCTGAAGTAAGAAGCAAAGCGTCTTACTTCAGCGTCTCTGAGTTTCATCACAGAGAAGAACTACAACCTGAGCTCTTTGCCGTATTCATGCCAACCTTTGCCTGATCTGGGGAAAGGCCTTCAGCTCTAGGAAGCTTCTTCAGAATTCTGATCATTTGCTTCTTTAAATATGAAGAGTCCCGCTTTGCATCCTCAAGGTCTTGTGAAGAAATCTTGATCTAGAATTTAAAAAAAAATAAATAAATTGCCAATGCAGGGAAACTTGTAAAAGTGTAGCGGTATTGGAAGAACATTTGAAAGCTCTTTTTTTATAAGCAAAACCTCACGGAAGGAAGGAGTAAAAATTAATCTGCAGCTAAATGGATTAGGAGCATCCAGATGCTTCGTAGGTAAAGAAATCAGAACTGAGACAAGTGGAAAACGTTTGTTTCTGTCCTACCTGTCTTTCCAGCTCTGAAATCTTTTCCTGGTCTGCATGGTGATGGTTTAACATGTACCTCTGATAGAGGCTCGCCTGAGAAACAAGCAGACATTTTTGTTTTCTGGTCTAGAATCCTTCATTTTCTGACATGAATGGAAAGATTTTTTTATTTTTTATTATGGTTTTACAAACTAGCTACTAACATTGTAGTTTTAAGAACTGGACTGTATCATAGGTCGGCATGTCATGAGCATTTACCTGCAGCTCAAAGTTCGTAGACCTCCGTTTCTCCTCCTTCAGCCTGGCTTGGAGTTCTTGGGTCTCCTCCCTCAGCTGTTGCTCTTCCTCCTCGGAGTTATGACATTCTTCTTTTGGGCTTCCTTTGTTTATTATTTCACTCTTCAGGTGGTGGGTGAGAGCCTCCAACTCTTCTTCTCTTGCCCTGAACCTAGACGTGGAGTTCTTATGTAGCTGACAACCGCATGCAATCTTCCCTGTTTAAGACGGGACTGAAAGGGTCTCATTTTGCCGCACGCGTACCTTTTTTCAGCAATGATCAGCTCCTGATGAGTCACTTCAACTTGTTTTTTAAGCATGTCCAGCCAGAGATCAGCCTCTTTCACGAGGCTTTCATAGATTTCTTTAACCTGTCTTTTTGCCTCTGCTGTGTTGAAAGGATTACAAGGCAACAGAAAGATAAGTAATGGAACTTGTTAAAGTTGTTTACTAAGCACTATGTCATCTTGGGAAAAAAAAATGCTGCAGATGGTAATAATCACTGTCACTATGGGATACCACAAAACAATCTAGATGTCTTAGAAAACCTAGTTGTGATAGTAGGCTGCCCTCTGTTGTATTACTGGTGAATACTTGCTGCCCACTGTCCCTTTGACTCACCATATGAATGCTCCTCATTGTGCTGCATTGAGTGGGCCTGGTTGGTTTCATTCAGATGCTTCTCCAGCCATAACATTTTGTCCAGAATTGCCCTAACATAGGCCTCTCTCTGCTGGTCATATTCCAGCCACTGCTTGTTCTTTTCCAAAGCCTTGAAGGATCGGATAAATGAATGAGAAGAACACAAAGAGGCAGCTGGACGAGGAGAGGAATGTGAAGCCCAAATACTTAGCGACATGCTATGAATCTGACCCAGTCATACTTTGTCACATGAAAAATTAAAGCGAGCAAAGTAATTTTCACAACACTTGCATCGTTGAGCATATGCTGCAGATGTGAGACAGCTTCGTCATTGGAGAATGATGGGGAATCCTACAAGACAAGAGAAAACACAGAGCGTCGCACCTTTCAAAATCAACCATTAACGTCAACATAATTTCAACGGCAACAGTGAAAAACGAGCCGCGCGGAAGGAAAATCTGTGAAAATTCACAGAAACAAACATGAGGCATGATTAATCCAAAACAAGAGAAAGAAAAACTGCTGCCATCTAGTGGTTTAAATCGAGTAAGACAAGAGCTCCCTTAGAAGAAGATGAGAGCAACATAACTTAGTTTAGCAGTTTTGCTGTTGTACCTCAAATATTTCGCAATGCTGAGAAACATTTCTGCTCCTCTTTCTGTGACATCACAGCAATTAGTCGGTGTCGACTCGACTTTTATCGTGCTCACCTCGATGTTAAAAAATGTGAACACCTGCGACCCCCTACCTCTGAGGTCGAAGTTGTTTTTTCATCTTTTGCCGGAAGCTGCTGACGACTCTCGAGCTGCAGAGTTTCAAGAGTGAGGAGTTTCTGTAAGCAGGTCAACAGCAAAAAAAAGTGGTTTTCAAAGCCAAGAAAAATATTAACATAAATAGAACAATATAGCCAGACTCTCAGAAGTTCTTTCCAACAATAGCTAAAACATAATTTAACTTCGCTGTGCTTACCTCCACAAGCTTATTATGTTCGGCGTGATGATGGGACACCTCAGCTAGAGTCTTCTTCAGCTGGATATTCTCCTTCTTTAAGCTGCTGATGATCCTTACGAGCTCAAAGCTGAGTTTTTTCTTGAGTGAGGCATTGCTTTTATAGGCTGTCATCTTTATTACCTGATAAGAAGAATTAGAGCCAGTAGAACAACAGGAGACTGGAAGATGCTGTGTTTTGTAAATATGAAAACACAAAAACATCCACACTGTAGTAGTACAAACCACAAAGCTGTTGTTTTTCAAAGCACCTTTTGCAATATTACGTTTTATCTAGAAACTTGAGGTAAAGCAACCAGGTGCTTTCGGATGCTACAAAGGCATTTGACTAAAGCGTAGCCTGGTATCTTTGGTCTTATTGGTGTCTTCTATAGTAGCTTAAAAACGTAATTCATTATTTTGCGTTTTTTTTTTTTTGCATTATCTTTACTCTTTTTTTCTTAATTCTCTATTTAGATAATTTAACTATTAGTAGGCGAGGTAGGGGGCAGTATGAGACTCCAGCAGAATAATATCTTAACAAAAAATGAAAAAAAAAAAAAAAAAATCCTGTTCAGGGAAATTTTAGATAAAAGAAACAAAAGAATAAGAATGGCCACAGGTGAGTACATTTCTGTTGCAAAAGAAACAGAAAGTGATTTTATAAGCTCAGTAAGTACCTTAGTTTTAATATGACAATAATAATGGGAAATGTCAATATTTATCTTGCAAATTTAACACTTTTCGACAACACAGCATATCCAAGTTATTTGTCAATAAAATGTAAAATTAATTTAAAAAAAAATCTGATATTTTTGGAGGATATTTCTTCCTTGGTGGCCAATTTTATTTTATTATTATTTTTTTTTACATACAATGGCCCTAAGACAAACACAAAAATGTATAAAATTATGTAATCTTTTTCGTTTAAAACAAAAAAAGTCAACATTTATTTCTACTGCTAAATAAATTATATAACAGTTGATTATTACAGGTAATATATGTAACATTTGCTATTTTGAAACACATACTGAAGACAATGAAAACCTTCTAAGTTTCGCTGTAATTTACAAGTGCTTACTTATCAGAATAGCACATATGCATAATATACATTTCCAAAGCTGTGTCATCCAAAGCAATTTAAATCACAGGAACAGAAAAGGAAAGTTTAAGTAGTTTTGAAACCAACTCTTCAAAACCTTTAACCTTTGGTACCAGTATCTCGGCAATGCATACCAGGCAATGAATGTTTTACCAGGAGTTAGTGAATCTTTGTTTGTCTTACAAACAGCAATCAAAAATCAACACTGATAATATTTCTAGAAAAAAACATAACACCTGATTTCATCTGAAATTATCGATGGTTAGGCTATGAGGGCAGCTAAGCACATTTCTAGAAGATAGGTTAGCTAAAACAATCATTTTTAAAGCCTCATTTTTACAAACATAAACATAGAGGTAAGTGACCCATAGACAAACTTGTTTTTAACAAACCTCAGCACGTTAAACAAGCTGACGGTTGACTTTCGAGACTTCCGGTTGGTCCGGTTGGGTAAACAACTGAAAGTCAACCGTTGGGTAAATAAATTAGACATTTATTTACCCAAAGAAGATCATTTTCCGATCTGATAAGTGTTTCTTTTCTGTCTGTCTTGATCTTTTAAAAATATATATAATTTCTCGGTTCGTCAGTCAGTCTTATTGTGTATATTAGATTTAGCTAGCTGAACAAATTAAGCCAACGCTACCGGTGGTATTCTGGGAATTTAACATGTAAAGGTTTTTAACACTGTTTCAAACGAAACCCATTGAAATTGGTTATTTTATTTTTACCTGAAAACGTCTGCTGCTATCAAAAATGTGGCCTTATTCTTCTGAGGTATCCTTTTTTAAACGGAACTCACTACAAGCGTTAGGCGCGAAAGCTTCCGTTTGTAAAAAGAAAACAGCTATATTCAATGCAGCAACGTTTTGGCACAAATTCAAAGTTCCGTTGCAGTTTATACAGTGACAAAAACATCATCTAGAGAGAATCACAAGATATTAAATTTGCGTAATAAATTATTATTATTATTATTATTATTATTATTATTATTATTATTATTATTATTATTATTTTGCTGCTTTCCAGACAGCATCACGCAGTCGGCAGGACAGGAACCTGATGATGATTGGTCTAGGAGCGCTGCGATCTTTCGTCTTGGGACCTAGTCGGTGAGCGACATCTTTGAAGGATACCTGCGTGTTCTTTTCCTCAGGAATTATAGCCTGGGAGATTTTAATAGCAACCAGGCGAGCATCTTCATTATCCCTCTCGCCAGCAAATATTATCTTAAAGCACTTAACAAGACAGTCTAAATAATATCTACTCTTAGAAATATGTAATCAAATTTATCCAATACAATCAAATATGTTCAAATTCAATTAGACATTTCAGATCCTATTTGTAAAGCAATTTAGTCAAAGTCACTTTATAATGCCATTTTGATGTAAATTTATTTAAGGAAGCCAGAGAATTCTTGGCACCAGTAGTTCTTGCAGATGCCATTAAAATTATACAAAAGGTATATACATCATTATTATTCAGCTTTATATGCCTGTGGTTATCAATCATTGTTATACATTGAAAGGATAGCAATGTCTTGTTATTGTTAAGCACCTGGATTTAAAAAAAAATTACAGCATGATCGCATTTTTCAATACCAGCCATCAGAGTGTAATCATCTGTGTTTCAGTCCAGCTTCATGCCAGTGGTACTTCCAAATAAAGTTAGGGAGAGTGAACAGAAGCAACAGCACCCTCTAGTGCCACAATATCCGATGGTCACCTAATTCTGAGTTTCAGCGGCAGTACCAATAGGTCCGCTAGAGAGCAGTGTTGCGCAGAATTAAAACAAAATTGAAATAACCTATCATAACTACGCTGGGGGGATCAAAAGCGACGAGGCAATTCTGAATATTTACAAACTGGCTGTTGTGTGCACACCCATTTTTGTTCCTCGTTTTTTCTTTTTTTTGTTTGTTTGACCGCTATGACTCATGAATGAGGTTGTCCTCGTCCTCTTCTGCAGTTCTCTCCTCCTTGCATCTCAGTTCTCTCTGAGGAGTACAACTGTCCTGACGGAATATGTGTCGAGTCGCCGAGTAAACTTGGATTTTGGTCACTATGCTGCGGGTCATTGTCGAGTCTGCGAGCGGGATTCCTAAAAAGAAAATAGGAAACCCAGATCCTATTGCTACTGTTCTTTTTAGAGGTGAGAAATCTCATATTAATTTAACAATTTTTCTGTGTCAGCCAGTCGAGTCATTCACATATTTTAATTTATGTTTTAATCAGTCACCTTCTTTGTAGTCCTTTTTGGTTGCAAAAATGTCATAGTCGTGAGTGAAGGAATCTTTTCCAGAGGGCTTAAGTCAAATATTTGGGCGGTGATTCAGAAAACGAGGAAGATACATCCTAATAAGGTCATAATATAACCTAATGTCTATGTTTAGTTCAGTGCTTGTTCTTGGACTTATTCATATGTTTTAATTTGCACATGCATGTGATTTAGTGCGAGTTTAACAAGTTTGTAACAAGTTTAGCTGAATACTTTTCAAAATACAAACATAAGAAAGTAACGAGAATAAAAACCCTAAAGCTGCTAAAGCCCAAAATATAAATTATTCCCCTTTTTATGCTTTCAGGTGAAAAGAAGAAAACAAAAGCAATTAACAATGACTTGAACCCAGTTTGGAACGAAGTAAGTCACAGATTACAGTGCTGTTAACTTTATTTTTGAACTTTTACAAGTTATGCACTGTTTTAAATGCTCTTCGTTTTGAATTACAGGTCCTTGAGTTTGACCTGAAAGGCTCTCTTCTGGATGCATCCTCCTACCTTGATGTGATTGTAAAGGACTATGAGACAATTGGGAAACACAAGTATGTGTTTATGATACACTGTCACATTTGTATGCTGTATTGGGATTGTAATAGTTTACAGTGTAATGTATTTTGCTTGAAGCTGGTCATTTGTATATCTTTGCGGGGCAAGAGAACATCTGTCTGATGGGAGAATAAAAAGGGGAAAAGAGAAGGGAAAGAAAAACAGAAATAGTTCTGAGTGTGGCAAAGGAAAATAAACATCCTTCTTGAAATATTTGTGTTTCCAGGAATAAGATCGCGATTACCATTTAAAGCTTTGTTGAAGACAGTGTAATATTTCTCTATATTCTGAACAGCATGTTGAAACTTCACTTAGCTGCGTGCCTCAAGCTCACTGCAACCATGTTAAGACTTGTCAAAAAGAAGTGCTTTCTTCTTCTCTTCTAAGGACAATGAAAATATTGCCTTAAGCAGAGATTGAGCTCTTTTATTTTTCTAAACTTTAGGTCCATAGCAACACAAAAGACTGCGGCTTTAGTGTTTTGGTTAAATAGCTACTGCTCTCTTAGTGACATTCTTTCACCAGTTTCAGTGCATTAGACTCAATGAAATGCAGGCAAGAAGGCAGACCAAGTAATAACATTTCCATTAAGTCATTCCAGTGACCGACAGTAACAATGTAAACTGATTTGCAATCCAAGAAAGGGGGAGGTGATGGTGGGGTAGGGCAGAGCTTCTGTCTCCCTTATGATGAATGATGCTTCATAATCATCAGAGCTTGTGGTGACGTGTCTTTGGCAGAAGTGTGATGACTGCAGTTCAGGCAGTAATGGCACTTAAAGGGCTTTGATGAAAGTATTAATATCCATTGAACTTTTTCACAGTTTGTCATGCTATCAGTACTAACCTACACGTATTCATTACACAGCTCAAACAGTTGCATGCGATGTGAAAGGTTGGTTTTCTACCACACTTAACGTTTTAAATGTAGACCAAAAAGATCAAATTTGGCCTGATCTCATCAGAGGAACTTCCTCCACAAGTTTTGCCGTGTCCCCAACATGGTTTTTGGAAAACTGCAAACAGGACTTCTAAAGGTTTTCTTTCAACAATAGGTGTTACTCTTACTGCTACATTCTTGTGGATGGCAGAACCAATAGTTGTCCTGTCAACAGATTTCCTGCAGATCTCTGCAGCTCCCCCAAACTTACAATAGACTTCTTGACTGATCTTCAGATTAACTATCTGACAGTTTTCAATATCCTGAACAATTTGTCTTAATACAATGGCAACTTAGGATATTGTTTTTAGAACTCAAGCCTGTTTTAAGCTTGTTTTATGATGAGAATAAAAGACAAACAGGTGGACTCTATTTATCAATTAGATGATGTCTGAAGGTCATTGGAGGCATTGGATTTTCTTGACGAATACAATCCAGATTAATGACAAAATTGTCCACTGATAGTTGGACATGTACAAGTAAGAAACTTTTAACGTCAACAAGAGCTAAATATATTCAATCTTCTGTTAAGAATGACAAAAGAAAAGAACTAAATTCCATGTGCCTTTTGTTGCTTGTAATTCAGACTATTTTGTGTTGTTATCTGTCATTAAAGTGACCACAAAGCATCCAGCACAAGCCAGTGGTACATTAAAAAACAAAACAAAATTATTTGCACTTCCTCAAAGTATATCCTTTAAATTGCATTGGCAACTGTTGACCAATCAGGGAGAATCCTTTGCAATGGCATCCTGTCACAATTGCATTGTTGGTTCGAATTTAGTTGAATTGAAAGACTTGGCATGAATTTGGAGAATTTCCAGGCTGTTGCAATATATTGTGATCATTAATCATGGCTGTAGTGCTTCTGTTTTTTACACAAAGGGACTAAGTTTCCGTGCTTTAATCAGGAAGCAGCAAAACTGGGAAGTTAAGAGTATCAGTCATTCATGGTAACGAGCAAAAAACAGTTATAAACATTTATTCTGGTTCCAGTTTATCTTGCATGTGTTATTATTTGTTGAAGCATAACATCCTTGAAGTTCTGTGTGTGATGTAAATTCACGGCAATGTTTTGGTTTTTATTTTTTTATTTATTTTTTTATCAACACTCAGTATTACATGTATGACTCGTGATTTTTTGCTTTCCAGGTTCATTCGCTCTGCAAAAATCTCACTGAGAGATTTGGCCAGTGGTCAAGTGAAGTCCCTACCATGTAAAAACGTCCCTTTGATCAATGAGAAGCAGCAAAATGTGGGGGTAAATAAATTCGCTCATAAATGATCCCATGTACACTTAAAACTTTAGTGTGTTAGACCTTCACTGAAACTTCAGTTTTGCTTGTATCAATTTATTCTATACTGTATTATATTCATATAGTAGATAATGGATTATATCATACTAATTGAAAGATATGGTCTATATATAATGGTATTTATTTATTGTTCTCCAGACAACCATTAATTTGGGCATTGGGTATGAGCCACCGGCTAGTCCAGACCTAAATGATCACACTAATGTCAACGTCTCCTACATGGAAGCAGGTAAAAAACACAACAGTTCACTTCAATTAAAATGGTCAGAATTTTATTATGACATTAAATGGTTCTGTTTTTCTGTCTAGGTCTATGCTCAACTTATACTTTTGCCTCTGAAGTTATAATATATATTTATAATGAAGTGTGTTTATTCAAAATGGCTTGTAATTTCTGTGATATAACAGCCTTAGATAAAGTAGACCCAACTTAATTAAACACAGTCTTAATGATTTTCTTAAACTTTTCTTATAGTGGAATAGCCACATAATGGGAAATGTATAAAATGATTTAATTTCATTTCATTTATTTATACAGCACAAAAAATTTCATGGCAGGGAAATATTCAAAACAATATTCCAGACTATAATTATGTGTTTCTGTTTAATCTACCAACTATTTAATTGTTGAGAAGAAGACTGAGCATAGTTGCATTGCTTGTTTCATCTCTTTTTCTCTTGTTTTGTTCAGGAGATAACGAGGAGGATGATGAGACAGAGGATGTTATGGATGGAGCAGGTCAGGTTGGAAGTTCAGGAATGCCTCCTTCACCAAACCAACCTGGAAAACCAAG